GCTTCTGCATCATGATCCTGAACTTCCTTGGTGGTCTTTTTGGTGTTCTCAAATTCTGTGGATAGTGGTTCCCTCAATCTGTTCCCTCAATCTGTCATTAGTGGTTCCCTCGATCTGTCATTAGTCCCTATAACAGGACTTGGTTTTTAGGAACAAAGGACCTCAAAAATAAATAAACATAGGTTTGCAGCAAACAATGGAGAAAAATCTGGATATCCTAGCAGTGTGTGGATTTTGGAGAAATCTGATCTCTATGTCTTAGAAATTACAGCTTTGGAACAAAGTTTGTGTCCAGTGGAACCTTTAAGACTAACAAAGTTTAATTCTGGGTATAAGCTTTCGTGTGCATGCACACTTTATCAGATGGTATTTTATTTTACTTATTTATTTATATTTATTTATAATTCGGATTTATATACCTCCCTTCTCTGAGCTCAGGGCGGCTAACAATGAAACTATACCATTTAAAATCTAGGAGTTAAAATTGGTTAAAATCTGGTATCCGATCATGGCATCCAGCCCCATCACTCCTTGGCAAATAGAGGGGGAAGTCATGGAAGCAGTGACAGACTTCACTTTCCTGGGATCCAAGATCACTGCAGACGGTGACTGCAGCCATGAAATTAAAAGATGCCTGCTCCTTGGGAGGAAAGCGATAGTAAACCTAGACAGCATAATAAAAAGTAGAGACATCACCCTGCCAACAAAAGTCCGTATGGTCAAAGCAATGGTGTTCCCAGTAGTTAGACTATAAGGAAGGCCGAGCGCCAAAGAATAGATGCTTTTGAATTATGGTGCTCTTGAGAGTCCCTTGGACTGCAAGGAGATCGAATCAGTCAATCCTAAAAGAAATCAACCCTGACTGTTGCCTGGAAGGCCAGATACTGAAGCTGAAGCTCAAATACTCTGGCCACCAAATGAGAAGGGAACATTCACTGGAGAAGACCCTGATGCTGGGAAAGATTGAAGGAAAAGGGGGACTGCAAAGAATCAGATGGTTAGACAGTGTTACTGATGTAATGAACATGAAATTAAGCAAACTGGAGAATGACGGAAGACAGGAGGGCCTGGTGTGATGTGGTCCATGGGGTTGTGAAGAGTCAGACTTGACTGTGTGACTGAACAACAACAATAAAGCACCATAGATATTTATAATTGTGGATAAACATTCATATCCATTTATGAGAATGAACAGGTATTCCCTATATTTTATATTGTTATTTTAGGATAAAAACATGTCATATTCACATGGAGCAATTTGTGTTGTGATTTTATCATGTATAATTAAAAATAATTTTGCTATGTTATTAGTAAAGTACTTCATTGCTACACAAAAGTGGCCTGTATGAAGAGGGCTTTAATGCTCTTGAGTGTAAAGGCTTGGAAGGGAAACTACAGGAAATAAAAGTGACCATTTTGTTATCAACAAACTTTCTTAAGAAGGAAAAACAATAACTACAGAAATTAAACACTATATAGAAACATTTTAAAATAAAACTAAATACTTTAAATTTATTAATTTACCATTTGTCAACCTTTGTAATGTTGGTATGAAGTAATTTCTAAAGTAAAGACAGAAGGATGTTAGATATAGACTGTCTAGTATACACAGCTTTTGAACAACTTAAAATTCTTCTAATAACATAACAAAATTATTATTTAACTAGGAATAAGGCCTGTTGTGGAAATAAACACAATGAGCTCTAGAAAGATTCTCTGGGAGAGTGCCCGACCTTAGGCACTCAGCGTCAATTTGCTGTGGCAACCTCAGCAGGCTATAATGACACAGAGTCCACCATTTTCTCCAGAGGAACTGATCTCTGCTACCTGAAAAGCACTTATAATTTTGAGTGATCCCCTGGGGATTGGCAACAATAGTTCCCCGGGAGGAAATGGCTGGTTTGGAGGGTGGAGTCTATGGCATTGTGCCTCTGAGGTCCCACCCCTCCTCAAACCTCACCCTCTCCAGGCTCTATACCACAAATTTCCCAACCGGGCGCTGGCAACCCTAGTCAGGACTGGCCCCAATGAGTTCCCCACAGAGGCCTGGAAAGGGCTTCATTCCTTTGTCTTTTTACTGACAGAACCAAGTTTGGTTGCCTAGCAACAGCCACTGAGGGAAAAGTTAGTCCCACAGGAACCAAGCAGGAAAAAGTGTCTTTGTCAAAAGAGACAGCCGTTTGGCAGTTATTTTGACAGGGGTGGCTGGGGTGGCAATGGGCAGGTTACAGGAGCTGACCCAGCATCCAGCCAATGGCACTTTTTACTTTATTTACAGTCCATGACCAGAATACTAGCCAATGGCACATGATTACTCTTGAGTAGCAGTTGATGGGCCAATGGCTGATGGAGTGAACTGCACAGCGAATGAGAAAGCTAGAAATGGCCAATATGTAAGAGAATTATTATATTAAGATTATATTTGATAAAATGGATTTTGGTTTTTGGCGCAACGAGAATGGTTGGCTCGGGGACTTGCTCCTGTGAAGCCACTGGATCACTGGCTCCTTTAGAGGAGTTCGGGGGCTCCAGAACTCCAGTGAGCTCTCCGAGAGGAGCTCATGGCAAGGGGCTTGACTCGGACTCCCCACGAGCGGCAGCAAGCAGGTGGAAGCCCAAGACTGCCTCCAGCAAGATCTCAGTGAGAGCGTCCATGGCAACCATAGACATGAAGTCGTGACTCCTGGGCAAGGGGGAAACAGAACATCTCAACAAAACAATCCAAGAAGATAAATCACTGTGAGTAACCTTAACTGCAACATCACTAGGAACCTTTCCACTGATTAGCCCTTTAAATCGTTTGTAAGGGGGAAAGAAAGGGAGGGGTGAAGAATCTTCCTCTCCCCCCCTCCCACTTCTCTAAAGCAGTCAAGAAAAGAAGAGAAAGGCTTTGTTAATAAATTTACTGGGCTAGAGAAGAGAAGGTTGATGTCTGAAGAAAATTGTGAAACAGATTTATAAATGTGATATCATTATACTTTGGATTACAAAACCATATTGTGGATTATAAATCTTTGGAATACTGTAATAAGCATCAGACTCTATACTATTGAAATAGAAACTTATCCCTGGAATTATAACTGAGCCATAAGGATTCATAAAAAGACATTTAATTTGGATTATAAATATCCCCATCTTATTATCTGGACCATAAACTAAAATCAAGAAGGAAGAATTAATGAACTATTAAGCATATACTTTTAACTTTCACTACATCATTTCCTTATAACTCATTGTGTATACTTTTGCAGTTTGTTAAAAATTGTAAAGTATATTATGTTCTGAGGTTCTTGTAAACAACTGATAAGTCTGTATTACAACTAAATGATAAGACTGTCTGTCTTGCTTGGGAACCTTCTTGTTTTTAATGTAATTGGGTAAACACAGAAAGCTTTGTGATTGTAGAGATTTAATTGACAAAGAGCTGAGAGAGTCTCTGTTTTTAACTCAATATTTTAAAATGGCTGGAGTAGAAGAAGGAAAAAATGTTTTAACACCAATAGTTACAGATCTCCAACTTTTCTTACAAGAAACAATTACTCCAATAGTAGAAAAAGCTGTGAAAATGGCTCTGGACTCTATGCAATCTAAGATAGACTTACTCCTACAGCAGAAGATTAGCCAGTTGAAAGAGCAAACTGACAGGACACACATCTTTATTAGAGATATGGATACAGAAAATACAGATGAAAGTATGCAAGCAAAATGACATGGACTACAGAATGAACTCAACAAATAAAAAAGAAACAAAATGCTTAGAGAACTGAATGTGAGACTATATGAAATAATGACAAGAGATGAAATCCTTACGGCAGAAAATGAAATTTTCCTTCTGAGAGAGGAAAATAAAGAGTATATTGAACCTCTAATCATCCAAAGAACTGAATATAGAGGACTACATCCAGAAGTTATTTCCTTTACATATAAGGGGGAAAGACACAGAATTAAGACTTTAAAACTTAAGAGGAGAAACCAGAGACTGAAGAAGAGGATGAAATCCTACAAAAATGGTTAAAACTTGCTGGATATTTGAAACTACACTCATTTGCAAGAGAAGAAGGTCAACACCCTTTGGACAAGAGAGACTATACAATTTTTTAAAGATCTTATCGATTAGACTGACGTATAACCAATTTGAAAGGAACAGGAACCTTATTTTAAATCATTTGCAAAAGAATATACATAAAAATAAGGTGGAATATAGAAAATAGATATTTAGACATTGTATGAGATACTTTAGACAGTTTAATGATGAAATGGAACACCCCAGATTTGTGTATGTTTGTTTGTTTGTCATAGTTAAAAATAAAATGTTAAAAAAAGATTGTACTTGATAAAATCACAAATTGTTGCATGTGAATATGACATGTTTTAAACCTTAAATAACAATATAAAATATAGGTAATACCTGTTCATTCTCATAAATGGAGATGAATGTTTATCCACAATTATAAACATCTATGGCACTTTACATGGTATTTTTCTGTGTGGGCTTTTTTCCTGTGAGCATTTATGACCATGGGGTTTTTTCTGTGGGCTTTTTTCATATGGGGTTTTCCCAGCCACCTTGCTTCTGACCTCAATTCAAGGTGCTACTATGGACTTTTAAAGCCCTATATGGCTTGAAGTCAACATACTTTAAGGGACCACCTATTCCCATATGAACCAACCCGATTGCTACAGTCATCTTCAGAAGCCCTACTTTTGTGGCTAGATGGATGGCAACCTGGGAAAGGGAATTCTCCATTGTGGAACTCGGGAATTTTGTCCCCAGGAAGATTCATCTGTTTCCCTCCATTATTGTCTTGCACCAGCAGTTGAATGCTTTTATGTTTTGTTTGGCATTTCCTCATTAACTCTCATTGGTCCTCCTATATTTCAAATGCTTTTTCAATTATTTGCATGGTCACTACCTTTGGGACCCTAAAGTGAGTGAAAAGGTGGCATGTAGATATTTTAAATAAATATATAAATATCGCTATTTTTTCCTTGCTCCACAGGACAGCTCATCTAGCTTAAGGATGAATTCTGAAACAGAAAGCTATCAAGAACCAGCTCTGAATTGAATAAATATGTAAATAAAGTGAAGAAGCAGATTTTTTGGCATTTCTGTTCTTCCAGTTTAGTATGACTAAATGACAAACGTCTTCCCTGGTGTCGGTATTCTCCACTAGTAAGTACGAAACTGAAGTTTAAACATTCGTACTATAGTGACAATGCCATCCACAAACTGAACACGGTGTGTCTATGGTGAAATCCATGAATATAGTTGGTGGATCTGCAAGCCAGATATTTGTTATTTAGGACACTAGTAGTGCTCACCTAAACAGAGTTACACCCATCTAAGCTTATTGAAATCAATGGACTTAACTCTGTTTAGGATTGGACAGTAAAATTGTACTATGAAGAAAAGGAATATTTTATTAGAATGGAGCAAGTGGAGCATGCTTTCTCTGCTGGTTGGGTCATAAGGGAGACTTTAATTGTGAAACAGAAATTGTTTATGAAACAAATGAATTCATTGTCACCACCATTTATTATGCTTATCACTATATTAGGTGCCATGCAAAAATTAATCCCTGTAATGAATGTACAAGATACATGGAAGGTCAGAGAGAGTAAGGTTTGAGCAGTCAAAGCAGTAGAGGATCAGAGTTTTTTGTCAGGATTGTGTATAAGAGGGGCTAGTATTTTTTACATTGTGCAAGGAAAAGCGACATGACTGGCAACAGTAAATATGAGGATCAAAGGATAGTGAAGAATTGCACAAAAAAGCTTTGTGCTGATTACTGGTTTGTGGTGGCATTGTCGATAAAGAGAATATTCAAGGAAAGGAAGATTGAAAGAAAGACGATAAATTCATTTGCAGCTCCAGCACCAAGGGGAAGGGCCGAGGTGAGCACCCAGGTCGAAAGTTCCTCTAAACCCACAAATTCTAGTGTAATTTAAAGTTTTTCCCAGTTGAAATAATATACATGTACACATTTTTCAGAAAGAGTGGGATAAAATTGGCCACAGCTTTATTGCTTACAGCTGTAGTAAGCCTTGGCACAGCATGGGGTAAGGATCCTGCTCATTGACTGAACTGCCCATCAGTCAGTGATCCGTTGGTCACCTTGGGACAGCAGGTTTTGGATCCCACTAGGGCCGAAGCTCAGAGGTGGTCTCCCCTGCCACCCAGACATGCCCCTGGGCTGGACGTATCACTCACCCCTCATGCCATGACCCCTTAAAGGGATCCCCACACTCAGGAAATGGGCACGCAGGCTGTTTTTCCTGAGAATGGATCCAGCCCCATGCTGACACCTCCAAGTTGTGACAAGAAATCAAGTATACAGAGCCACATGCAACCACTGCAAATACCTAACTAAAGGGCTGGGAGGGTGGGCCAAGCTGTCCAGTGGCCAAAAATGGTGAGCCAAGGCAGTGTGGTGCCCTAAATAGCCATCAGCACCCGTGCCCCTGAATCCCCTTCAAGACAGCTAATAGAGTCAGTGCTGGATCAGGTAGGCTCCAGCTTCCCACGCTTGACTCTGGCCTGCTCCCTCCGCCTGGCAAAGAAGGGGAGGGGGGATACAGGGCTGCTCCCTGCTCTCACCTTTCCCCGCAGCTCCGCAAACTGGACCCAGGTGGGTCCGGGTCCTGACTTTTGGACACATAATTAGACAACAATGAAACATTCATGCAAAAATGTTAGATACGGGTAGTTGGAAATGTAAATTGGTATATAAGAGATCCTGAGTCACGAGACTGAATGAGGTCTTCCAAGAGAGTTTAGAGAGAGAGAGAGTATAAGAGAGCCGAAAATAGATTCCTGACTAACCCTAACACAGTGAGAGAAAGCAGAACTAGCCATGTCATGGAAGCCTAGGGCATGAAGGAGGATGATTAATTGCCCTAGAGGTAGAAGAGAGGTCAAGGAGGAAGGAGAGTCCTGAAAATTGGTCTTTGGTGTTGATAGAGAAAGGACAGCCCTGAGCATAGTCAGATTATATGGGGTGAGGAAAGGAATGGAAGAAGCAAGAAAATCAAGTGAGTGGGAATAAGCAATATACACCAGGAGTTTAGAAGCAAAGGACAGAAGAGAAACTGGACAATAAATTAGTGGAGCTTAATGGAGCAAGAAGAGTTTTTTAAAAGCATTTTTAAAGAAATAAAATAGTGATGTGCTTGAGTATAGTAATAAAAACAAGAGAAGTGGAACTCATGTGGTGGTGAGGGAAGATATTAGTGGAGGAGATGGCGATGAGTGGGAAGGGAGAGGGTCAGGGGAGCACAGGGAAAAGATAGAAAATATATCATCTGATCAGATGAGCTGCATGAGGAAAAGAAGGTGGAGGGAAGGAGAGTTAGAGAAATGGACGAGATCTGAAAGGCAAAACACAAACTATTTTTTCTCTTTTTTCTTTCTTTTTTTTAAGACTGGCTGAATAAAATGATCTCCAGAATCATCCAGATACAGTGAAAAAGAAGAACATGGATTTTAGGAGAAAAACCAGTTAATGTGTTGTTCTGCATTTTCCAACATAACACGAGATACTCATGTGGAAATAGCCATCAAGGCAGGCGTATTTTGAAGAACAGAAGGAGACACAGATGGAAGGTATAATTGAATACTGCCTGCATAAAAATCATATAGCAAATGAAATGAAAAAACATGATGTAAGAATAAAGAAAGAAAAAAGAAGGACCACCAAGCACAGACCCTTTTGGGAAGACCAACAACAGAAGAAACGGAAGAGAAATTTGAGCCAATAACAAAAGCATAAAAGAGAAGTTAGCATGATAAGACAGAAACAAACAAAGGACAGAACGAATGAGTGAAGAGAGTGAAGAAAAGAAAAACAACAACATTGGCCTGATGTAGAGTAGAGTGCAGAAGAAAGGTCCAAGAATAATAATATATTGAAGTAGAATGAAGCATACCAAAAAGGATCAAGAAGAGAGTATTAGGTACAATACAGAGAAGAAACAAAATTTATATTTATTTATTTATGTAGAAGAATTGTATGCTGCCTCTCCAGGAACCTACCTGAGTCAGCTTACAAAATAAAGAATAAAACAAATCATTAAAAGTTATTTATCAAAACTGAACATTAAAATGTTAGGAGCTTTGACAGAAATAAAAGAGACATGAGACAATAGAGCAGAGGTCCGAACATGGGACCTCTGGACACCACGGTGCCTGCCAGCACTTTTCCTAGCACACACCAAGTGTTTGTAGAAAACACTTGCCCAGCATGACTTTTGATTGCACATGGGAGATTCAATTGGCTGTGCAGATTTTTAAAAACATTGATTTGACAGCAGCTGTCACCACAGCCCAAGGATCTTCACTGTGTGACTGAAGGCAAGATGTGGTTGCCACTTTGTGTGGCTGCCCCCACCTCCAGCAGCAGCCACTGTACCACACTGTGTCAAAATTGCAAAAGCGCCTGCCAGCTCAAAAAGGTTGGGAACTTCTGAGTTAGATGATCCAAATTCTTTTTTAAAAAATAGGAAAAACATTGCATGCATAAGACCAACCAGAAGAGCTACTGAAAATTGCTAAGAATTTAAAGCCTGACTATCACAGGTTTCCAAGGACAAGAAAAAGATGTTGCTATCTGTAAAAAATATCCTACATACTTTCAGTTCACAGATTCCAGGGCAGGTCACATGCTACTCTTTTTTTCTTTTTTACCACAGCAAATTTAGAATAAAGTAAAAGTTACCTGGAAGTGGACAAGAAACAAGATTACAAAGAAATCAAGGCAGGAACTGAAGAGTGTGAGCATGTGTTAAAAAGAAAAATGGGCAAGAAAGAAAGTCAGCATGAAGCTATCAAGAATAGAGAGAAAAGTTGAATGAATCAGAACAGGAGCCAGGCATCAAAGTGCAGATTAAAAGGTGGAAAAGATTCAGATAACATGAATTTTAAAACTCATGAAGAAAGAAGTGGAAACTTGAAAAATGAAGAAGAAAAAAACCTAAGTGGCCAGTGGAAGAATATGCATGAGTGAGTGTTGAGAGTAATTATATTGCGAGAGAGAGAGGTCTGTGCCTTTGTAATAGCAATACATGTAAGTGACCGGATAGAAAGAAATTGTACCAAATAGTTGCTTTGTTAACTGTTGAGTGGCAGTTCAGTATGCCAAAGGGTGGTATAAAACAGAAGTGAAATAAAGTAATGAATCTGACTAAGAACTGGATTTAGGAAAGATGTTATCAGGAACAAAAAGTAAAAACACAACAAATATCTCAGAAAAGACCAGGAAAGAAACAGCAGCAGAGATTACCAAAAAAAAAAAAATCTTTGTGAAGAGTACTGAAATACTGAAATAGTCACAATGGCCCACATAAGTTGCAGTTGCCTAAGCAGACCCCATGTACTCAATATATAGCCTCTCGGACTGGCAGCTGCTAAACACAGTAAATGGGTTTTCACCTCCTAATGGTTAGGACAGGTAAGGAAAGGTAGGCATCTGCCTCACAGAGGAGCAGAAGGAAACAAGTAAGATCCCTATCTGTAAATGGAGCAGATGGCCAGTTTCCCTTTAACACTTGAGTAGAGTAGAGAACTTCTACCTGTAGGTCAATGGTCCCTTGAAAGAACTGGGTTCCCTCAGAGGTTTGTTTGGCCCCTGGAAATATTTCTTCAGCAGCAGGTTGACAGTCTTAGTTAACCTTAGCTGTATGGAGCCCACTGTTATTCATCTAGGGTTGCCAAACCCCCCAGTTTGCCAGGGGCCCCCCGTTTTTTGGGGGGGGTTCTACCCGCCGCCGGCCAGATGGCCAGTGGGGGAAGCCCCACCCCCAACACCCACAGCCACCCATCTCTCTCCCTTTAAGGGTGTGCAACCCGTGTTTCATCCCAAGCGCGAACTCCGCAAGCTTGCAGGGAAAAGCCAGCTTCGTTCTTAAAAGGGAAACGCAGCTTCTCTTAAAGGGGAAACGCCGGCTGCCGGCTACTTTAAGTGCAGAAAACTGCTGTTTCTGGAGATCCGGCGCACAGCAGGGTGGGGGGGCGGCAGACGTCCCCAACGTGACATCATCACGTTGGGGATGCCCCACCCCTTCCAGGAACACCCCCAAAGTCCCCCGCTGGGGGTGGAAGATGGACTTGGCAACCCTATATTCATCCTTTAAGTAAAGCTAACAAGAATTGCACCTGCAATTATTCAGTGCTATGAGAAGAAAGTATAGATACTGGTTAACATCAAATGATTTAAAATCTGTTTTATCTGTTTACCATATAAATATGTGAAGACAGACAAATGCAGTACTTTTGCATCATCTGAAGCAAATCTTAAAATTTTATTCCGAGGTGACTTTTTTCATTCTTATAAAGCAGCCTAGTTATCTTGTATAATGTTTTGAATTTTTTAGGTTTTAAGTTGAATTGTTCAGAGTTTCTTCAGTGCTCCATTTAAAATGAATGGTTTGTACATATTCTATACCAAAAAAAAGGTATTTCCTTCTAGGAATCTTGAAGGAAGACTTCATGGACTCAGAAGATGGTGTACAACAAGAGTGTGTCTTCCTCTGGAAGCTGGTTTCACATGGTGGCTTAGATTTTTCCATCTTTGTATCTAGCACCATTTGAAATCAGTGTTCTAGGAGCAAGAATTACAGCACTGGATTTGGAGAAGAACTGTAAACTGCAGCACACATCATGTCACCAGATTATGAATACTGTTTTGGTAAGATACAGCTGGCCCGGGTGTGCTAGTAAGGTACAGTGTTTGAATTTTAAATTTAATATTTAAATTAGGGCAAGAATATAAGAAGTGTTTGAGAACACTGATGGAGCTGCACACTAGTAGTTTGTCTGGTAGCTGTTCAAGGAAGACTGGATCTAGCCTTCCCTGATTCCATTATCAAACAGGCATGTACTGCTTTTGAAGAGGTTGTCATGTACCCTGCTGCAACAAATGGATCAGAGCGAGTTGTACATACAGCACACATCTGCACACGCAGTCCCTTTTCCAGGTGGGATCCTATGACTCTGCACCTGCTTTTCAGAGATTTCGGGGAACTTCGGGGGAGGGGAGGTCTGCATCTGCAGGCACTCTTGCACTCGTCCTTCATAGGATCTAACAGACTGCAGATTTGAAATTAGAGTCTAATGTCAAATCTGCAGTCTGTCAAACTCATTTGTTATGAGGGCCAGATCTGACATAAATGTCATTTTGGGGGGCTGGGTCATGTGTGCCATAAAATGTAATGCCACGTACTGCAGATATTTTACCGCTGACTGACCCATACTCCTCATCAGCAGAACTCAGGGCCAAACCAGCCCTCTTCACCCCTTGTGGTTGCCAACTCTGGGTTGGGCAATCCCTGGAGATCTGGGAAAGACCTTGGTGAGGGCCTGTGTGTGGGGAAGGGAGGGATCTCAGCAGGGGGTATAATACCCGAATATAGGCCCTTGGGGTCCACATTTGGACTGGTTTCCCCCAGTTGCTTGCAGGCCGGATAAGAGCCCTGGATGGGCCGGTTCCAGCCCCCAGGCCGTATGTTTGATACCTCTGCATTAGACTATCATTTAAATACCTTGGATAAGCCATTCTGGACAAATAAAACTGAACTTGGTACAAGAGTAATTGCTAGTTAATCGCCGCAGCTTGAGTTGGAAACCACTTGCCCCTTGTACTCTGGCCCTAAGTTACCCAGGGCAGCTCCTACATTGGCTAGTATCTGCATTCACAGAAAGTGAATGTGCAGTTCTCTGTGCAGTTCATCTTATTCATTGCTGTCAAGGGCTACTGCCATCCCTTTCAGTGCCATTGAATCACACCTTAGTGAAGCCTGATTTCCAGGCTGCAGGTTCTGGATTCTGAGTGTGCCCAGTCACTTTGTCTTCACTTGAAGTTAAAGCTCTCATTTTGAATCGTCTTTTGGATCTTTACAGCACCAATATTGTTTTTAAGATGCTTATGCTAAGATGCTGTGTTTCTTATTGATATTATCCACCTTAGGTCCCTGGGGGGGGGTGTGTGCTTAATTGTTTTAAATAAATAAATATTATTATGGGAATTCAACTACCAGAGTTCAAAAAATATGACTGTGCCTGCAGTCACTGAATACTTTGGTTCTTGTTTTAATATGATACTCTGGGCCAAACTAGACATGTTGGTGTCCTCGTGGCCACCACAAGGCTGCTGCTGCCATTTGAAAGCAATTTTAAAATGTTGCCGCAGTATGGTGCTCTGGTTTCCCTCCCCTGCTCCTTTTCAGGTGTCAAAACAGCTAAGGGTGGGGTGTGTGGCTGTTTCAGCATTAGATAAGGTGCTTGGGGGGGGGCAAGAAAACCTCAGTTCTCAGTGCTGTGCCGCAATCAGGATCGGGTCCTCATGGCATTTCAAAATAACTAGTTTGGCCCTCAGTAACCTATAACTACTACCATTTAAACATCCACAGATAAAACCTAAATTAAATACATGACTTAGTACTAGAATCTGAACATGTCCTAACTTGAAGCCTTTATGAAGATGTGGTCCTCCAGGTTCCCTCTCCTTTAGAACCATGACAAAATATCCGTTAATGTTGTATGTGTTAATGCTTGTTTCGGGCAACCTTCTTTCAGACCTTTTTAGATGGGATTATGCTATGAGTGCTAATGATCTGAAGGACCTGCAGATTCTCTTAAACAGAAGAAGCCACTGGGACAACGTCTCTTACACAGGCTGACCGATTTCTCTTGGTGTTCAGAGTCTTAGTCCTTGTCTAGCACCATTTGAAATCGGTTATGATGTAGGGGGGAAAGCAACTGAAGTGGAAGTGGCATGACTGGTTTAAAGATACCGCCAGCTAAAAATCACTACATATGAAGATATCTTTCATACTGTCATAGGATTTTTTTCCCTATAGTGTGGGTAAATCACACAGTTATGAATTCTATCACAACAGCTGTTGGTGAGTTCCATTGTAAGAAATCTCGCATGGAGCATCTCCCTTTTTGGCCATGGGGATCCCATGACCTCCAGCTTCTGCTTTCCAGAGGTCTCAGAGAACTGCAGTGGGAAAGGGGAAGGGTGGGAAAGATCTTTATCTGCAAGCACTCTTGCATCCATGCTTCATGCACTGCAAATTTAAGAGTAGATCATCCTTATTGTAATACTTTGGATAAGCTATGATGGACAAATAAAAGTGGATTTAGTATAAGAGAAATGGCTACTTAATCACTGCAGCCATAAGAGGCTACCAATCTTATAAAAATGGCCCTTCTACTCTGGTCCTGTGTTAAATTCAGCCCCTACCCCAACTGTCACATTGTCTCCTGAAACTCTACAACTTTAAACCTTTTTAATGTTTGTGCTTAACTAATTTGATACACTGTTACTTTAAGCTGATAAACACTGTCTTGTGTGTAACAGTGATTTGAAAATGTTTTTATACAGTACCTGGCCAGAGGTCAGTTCTCAACCACTCTCCTCCTACTGAAGTTCACATCCCACTGTTCCTAGGTTCCCATACAGAACAGAAGCAGCATTTTGGAGAGCTTAGTGGACTTTAGCAGGAGGTAGGAAGTGGTAAATTATTATTCCCTCATACTACTGAAAGTATGCAAAAAGTGACCTCTGGATTCAGTTCAGGGTGCTGGAGTATACAGAAGCATGGTAATTTCTATGTAACTTTGTTACGAAGCATCATGGCGATCTGTAAATTCTTCAACTGTTATGTATGTATAAAATGCAGAAGAAAATAAAGCCTGAAATTATGCAGTTATCAAAACCAGACACTAGATGGCAGTGCTGTATTTTTAACTTAAAGGTGTTGCAGCTTTAACTCACAGCAACACCATCTATGCTCTAGACCCCATTTTACTTTATACAGAACAAACTTTTTCCCTAGACAAATTACCACTTTCAGAATTGCATTTGGGTGTGGCTTGTGAATTCAGTTAGCTAAAAGGAGATACACATACACACATACATATTGCATAAAAGGGGTGAATTCCCCCCCCCCCCGTGGGACTTCAAAATAAGTGTAAATGTAATGGGTTCAAGGTTTGTAAGAATAATTCAAAGGAAAGAAGGGACACACTTTGATCTCATATTATTTCTTTATTTAAACTGTTTATACTCCTCCATACAAGTATATATAGGTTGCAACAACACAAAATGTAACAGTGTTACAATAAAACTAATAGAAGAAAAGAGATTGGATTTATACCCCGCCCTTCACTTGGAGTCTCAGAGCAGCTTACAAACTCCTTTCCCTTCCCCTCCCCAGAACAGACACCCTGTGAGATGGGTGGGGCTGAGAGAACTCTGACACAAACTGCTCTTTTTCAAGGACAGCTGTGCCCGAGCTTGTGACTGACCCAAGGTCACATCAGCAGGTGCAAGTGGAGGAGTGGGGAATCAAACCCGGTTCTCCCAGATTAGAGTCCGCACACTTAACCACTACACCAAACTGGTGGTTTGTTGGTTTGTAAACAGCTGTTCATGAACAAAGTAAGCTAGGCAAGCAAACAGACCTCTTTCTTAAAACTTCTTGAAGCCACATGTGCTGCTTCTAATTTTGTGGGGTAACCTCCTTGATGTATATTTTTTACACTCCCCACCTGCTTACCCTGTCCCCTCCTTAGTGTGGTTGGAGGGGAGGGCATTAAGGAGGGTGGAGTTGGGGGGGCAGCCCTGGAGGGTGGAGGGAGAGGGCTCCAGAATGCATTTTTCTCAAGGAGCTACAAACACCTGCAACTGACCACAAAGTGAGCAGTAGCTGGAATTATGCCCAACCAATTTGTACCTGAATCAA